GTTCCAGCTACTTGGAAGGCTGAGGTGGAAGGATCGCCTGAGCTCAGCAGGTTGAGGCTGCAGTGGCTGGGAGTGTGCCACCGCACTCCAGCCTGGTGCATAGAGTGAGACTCCTACTCAAAAAAAAAAACAAAACCCAAGCTGCGCACAGTTGCTCAAGCCTGTAATCCTAGCACTTTGGGAGGCCAAGATGAGAGAATGGCCTGAGTCCAGGGGTTCGATACCAGCCTGGGCAAATGGTGAGACCTTATCTCTACAATAAATCAAAAAATTAGCTAGGCGTGGTGGTTGGCGTCTGTAGCTCCAGCTGAGACTGAAGGATCGCCTGAGCCCAGTAGGTAGAGGCTGCAGTGGCTGTGGCCTGGGCGACAGTGTGAGACTCCAACTCAAAACAGAAACAAAAAACCCCAAGATTGTAAAGATGGAGACCTTTTATGATGGTGAAAGGCCGCCTTGGTTGAAAGATCTCTTAGGGTGGAAGAACTGGGTCATCTCTGATGGCCGGATGGGTCTCTTGTGATGGGGTGTGCCTTGAGAGAACCCTCATTTTTCAAGTATTATTCCTCATATCGACAAGTCTTTTATTATCAAAGAGCCGACCTGAGTGCAAACTTAAGATCTGGGAGGAACATTGATTTTTTCAGGGGGTCTTGAAGAGCTGGCGGCCCCCACGGAGAGTGACACTGGCGGAAAGTTCGCTCTTGCGGGCTGCGGGCTGGGGCCACGGGGGGCGAGCCTGCCAGGCTCCACGCGGACGAGCGGCGGCCGGGAGCGGGGGGAATCCCTGGCGCGGCGCTCTCCCGGGCCGAGGGGCCTTCCCGGCCGGTCCCGTGAGCTGGGCGGGCCGCGGGCGGCTCTGGCACGGTTGCGGCCTCCCGCTCGCCCGTGACTCACTCGCGAGGGCGGGGGAGGGGGCTTCCTGGAAGCCGTGACGAGGAGGCTCAGCCCGGACACCCGGGTTCCTCTCCTGTAACCAGGGCCGCAGGCTCCTGTAAACAGAGCCGCGAGGGCAACGGGAAGAGGAGGGGGACCCGGGCCCGCCGCCCGGCCGGGCTCCAAGCCCTCCTGCCACTCAGGGCGGAGCCGTGGCACCCGGCGCGGGGGGCGTCCGGGGCTCCGCGGAGCCCGGCTCAGCCCCGGCTGCGACCCTGGAGGAGGGATTCCGGTTTCGGTTCCCTGGAGACCGGGAGCATTTCCCACCCCTGAGTCGGGCCGTGCCCCGTCCCCTCTCCCGTCTGCTGAGTCATCGGCCCCGGAGCCAGGGTTTTCGGGACGGGGCCACTCTCGAGGGGGGCGGGGGGCCGGCGTGCCTGCGTGCGCACGTGGGGGCGGAGGCGTGGGCCCCAGCGCGCCCAGGTCCCTGAGCGCGTCCAACCCAGGGAGCCGCTGCTATGCGGGGAAACGCGCGGAGCCACCTGTGTGTGAGGGACTCTGCCGCGTGTGCCGTCGCCATCCGCGTGTGCGGCGGCCGCCCCACCGTCCCCGCGCGGCAGTTGCCTTGAGGTGGCGTTCCGGAGAACCGGCGGCTTCCCCACCCCCCCGCACGTCTGGGCCACTGTGCCATCGGCGGGGCCAGTGTAACTCCTCGCGGGAGCCGCCGCCCTGACGGAGGGTCTGTGCACACGCCTGCGAAGCTGTGTCAGCACCCGTGTGACTGCGCGCCGGTGGCTGCGTGCAAGGCCCCTGTGGCTTGGTGTGTGGAGGCCTCAGACGGGTGTTTCGCCGTGGGCGTCTGAGACGGCGTGTGCCGGGAACAGGGTGGCGTCTGGATGCGGCTCCTGTGGCCCAGTCACAAGGCAGTGACACTGAGGAACTTCGGCTGCTGCTGTCTAGGGCCCTGCAGCCCGCTGATGGGGAGGGTGGCTGGCAAGCCCCCGCGCTCCGCGTCCCCTCCGCGGGCAGAGCGGACCTGTACACGCCCGCACCTGAGAAGCTGCCTTATCTGTCCCCAGCTGATGAGGCCACTGCCGATAGTTGGGCTGAGGGCAGGGCTGAGTCAGCCTGTGATGGGCAAAGTCTGCGATGGGGTGAGAGATAGTGGGTTAAGTGGTGGTTAGAGGGTTGATGTGTATTCACATGGCTGGGTCGTTCCCTTAGTCTGTCTATGGGAGCGGGAGTAGGACTGGGTCTCTGGGGCCCCGTGGTTGTAGGTTGTAGGATGGTAGTTTATGCTGGTCTCTTGGGGTGGGGGTTATGATGTATACTTGTGTGTCCCCCTGTCCGTTTTGTGGTGGCTGTGCAGCCCATGTACTCACCCTCCCTGCAGTCTGTGGTTGTGCACCAGACGGTATAATCTCTCTCTGGGTCGAATAATCTAGCAAAGCCAAGTCCTCACCAAGGCTCTCCACATGGCTGGACTTCCTCTCCTATTCTTGCTCCCTTTAGGGCCCAAGCCTCATTGCTCCATAAACAAACCAGCATATTTCTGCCCCAGGGCCTTTGCACCTGCACGTCTCTCTGCCTGGAGTGCCCCTGCCTTTGATGTCCAGGTGGCTCAGTCCCTCTCCTTCAAGTCAGCTCAAATACCACCTCAATGAGGCCTTCCTTGACCACTGTCAAGGTTTTAAAAAAAACCACCACCATGGCTGGGCACAATGGCTCAAGCCTGTAATCCCAGCACTTTGGGAGGCTGAGGGGGGAGGATTGCCTGAAATCAGGGTTTGAGACCAGTCTGGGCAACTTGGTGAGACCTTGTCTCTACAATTAAAAAAAAAAGCTTATCATTATGGCTTATAACTAGATGTTACATTATTTCATGTATTATTCAGTAGGTGACAAGGTGGGTTTTTTTTTGTTTTTAGTTGGAGTCTCACTCTGTCCGAGCGCAGTGGGGCATGCTCATGGCCACCGCAGCCTCAACCTGCTGGGCTCAGGCATCCCTCCGCCTCAGCCTTCCAAGTAGCTGGAACTACAGATGCATGCTACCACGCCCATACTTTTAACGTTTTTCAGTAAAGTAACATAATTCCCTATATGCAAACTTGCATTTGTTAGATTTATTCCTTTTTTATCCCTCCATATCTCACTTATTTTTTAACCTATCCACTTCTGATCTCACGACTTTATTTTTCTATGCCTTACTTTATCACACTTACAGTCTTCCATTAGAACGTCAGCTCTAGGCCAGGCTCGGTGGCTCAGCCTGTAATTCCAGCACTTTGGGAGGCCGAGGTGAGTGGATTGCCTGAGTCCATGGGTTCGAGACCAGCCGGGCAACTTGGCAAGACCTCGTCCCTACAATAAATCAGAAATTAGCCGGGTGTGCGCCTGTAGTTCCAACTACTTGGAAGGCTGAGGCAGAAGGATCGCCAGTACCCAGCCAGGAACCTGCCACTGCACTCTAGTCTGGGTGACAGAATGACAGTCCAACTTTAAAAAAAAAAAAAAGTATCAGCTCTAGGAGTACAGGGCTTGGCCCACACAAGATGGCCAAGAGGTTGTTGAATGAATGCAGCTGTATGTGGCACGGGCCCTCAGGCTGGGAGCTGGTGGCCCTCCAAGATGGTGGGGAGAGGGTTAGTGATTTTCAGTTGTATACAGTATAACTGCATCATGTTAGGTGGAAATACAACTTTGTTACTGTACTTATTTAAGTATGGCTAAGGAGATGTGTGAGGGTACCCAGTTGACAAGAACTAAGTGGTCAGATTATGTGTCAATTGGACAGGCTACATTTTCAGTTACTGAATCTAACTAACCCAGGTGTTGCTGTGAAGGCATTTTGTAGATGTGATTAAAGTCCATAATCAGTTGACTTTAGGAAGGGATTATCCTAGACAATCTGGGGAGTTGGGTGGGGGACTGATTCAATGAGATAAATTGGCAAAGTGGAGGCTTCCCTAAAGAAGGAATTCCACCAATGGACAGTGCTTCAGGGTTCCTTCCTGCCCTGTGTGTCCTGGTATTTCAAAGAGGGGGAGGAATTTCCCGGGATGTAAACACACACACACACCTGGCCAATTTCCAGTGTGGGAACTCAGGCTCTGGGTGAATCAGAGGTCTCCATAGTCCCAGGGTTTCCTTACAGATGCAGGGTCCAGGACAGGAGGCTGCTGGGTGGTAACATGGGAACCAGGGCACAGAAGGTGCTGGGTGGGGCAGTTCTCCAACTGGGCTGAGTCACTGGAGCCTTTCACACCCCAACAGCTGGGCCTGGGCTGGTAGCTCCGCCCCACACTTGCCCAGGCCTGAAGGCCATGGCTAGCTCCCTGAAGCTCTTGGGGAGGTGGGGAGTCTGGTGAGGCGTTCCCTCCTTGAAGCCCCTTCCCCAGGGTCTACTTCCCGGAGCTGGGGCTCAGGCGCCTGGGTTCTTCCCCGGGATTGATGATTCACCCCTGCTGGGGCCTTTTCACTTCTTCTTTGGGGCTAAAAATACAGGGATCCAGGCATCTCGCTGGGCCAGGCCTCACCACGGATTGCACAATGCCCCTCACTCAGTTCCGCTGACGCAGGCCTGGGTACGGGTGGGGGCCCGAGTTGCTCCCCAGTCAGGCATGCTGAGGTCAGGGATTGGACCCCCTCCACTTCTCCTTTCCTGGGTCAAGGGCCCTGGGGGCTGGGCTTGGCTGTGGCCCCTGGAAATGAAGTCCCTTTGCTAGCCTCAGGCAATCCAGGGACATGGGTGGTCTTCATAGACACAGAGTCCCAGATAGAAGCTGGAGACAGGGGATGGCAAAAGGGGACTAGAAGAGAGATGAGAGAGGCAGGGAGACACAGGATCACAGACACAAAAATAGCAGCCGACCGACAAAGACAAAAAGAGACAGGATGAGAGAGAGACGGACACAAGCATGGCATGGAGACACAGAGGAAAAACTAGCAAAAGGAGCAGACACAGAGACCACCCCACAGCAGGGACAGAGTCAGGGTTGGACAGAGGTGCCCAACCAGGGCTCCACACCCGGGCTGGGTGGGGGAGGACCTCTGGGCCAGAGAGGTGGTCAACACACACAGACCAAAGTCCACCGAGGCTAGGGAGGGGAGCAGGAAAGGAGGCAGCAGAGGCCAGGGACTGCCTTGTGCCGTCTCTGCTGGCCTCTGCTGCCCCCTGCTGGCTTCGCCCGCGGTACTCAGGCAGGAAGAACAATCAGACAAGACTGTTTTGGTTTGGGCCACTCTTCATTCCCTCCCTGCCCACCCCTCCCGCCGCCTGCCCCCCTCCTGGCCCTGCCACTTCAGAGTGTGCCCCCGGGGCCAGTAGGTGGTGCAGGCGTCTTGCCCGTGACCTTGTTGGCACAGTCCAGCAGGGCGGTGTGAATGTCCTTGGCACAGGCAATCTGGGCTTTGATGACCGCCAGGTACTGCGGGTAGGGCAGGCTGTCAGGCTGCACCGCGTCCGGCTTGGTGGCTGTGGGCACCAGCGTTGGAGAGTGCTTGGCACTGTCACAACTCTGCGACAGGCATTCATGCGCCAGGCGCTGTGGACAGGCAGGCAAGGGTGCCGCATCAGTCCCCCAGGAAAATTCTAGCCCTACCTTGAGGGCCAGCCTGGGGGAGCGTGCTTAGCCTCCGGGTTCCCAGGGTCTTGGAGTCAAAGCCCGGCCCTGCTAATCATTTTCTAGGTGACCTCAGGCATGCAGCTGCTCCTCCGAGCCTTCTGCCACAAATGCATTTAATAACCACCTCTTCCTTCCTCATTAAGATGAGAACAGCAAGAGCAGGTGTGTGAAACAAGCACATGTACTAGCAAACTGATTTAAGTACTAACTGATACATGTTAGCTACTATGATTGTTACCATCCGAAGCCCAGGCTTGGCATTAGCAGTGGCATCTCTGATGGTACCTGCCCCTGGTTTTCCTACTACTTCTTTGGTTGTTCTTTCTAGGCATTTCTTACACAACCTGAGACAGCAATTCCCAGGCCTCACCTTCTCTCGCTCAAGCCCTCCCAGGGCTGTCACACCCACATACACCACTCAGTTCCCACCTCTGCACTCATGGTGCCTGCATCTGTCCCCTGCCTCCCCGGACATTCCCAGGGCCCTCACACTCTTCTCCAAAGGTATGGAGACAGGGTCTCCTCCTGGATCCCAGATTCAGGGATGGCCCTACCACTTCAACCAGACCTGGGCCTCACCCGGAAACGCCTTCTCCCCGATAGCACTTCAGCCTGTGGCCTGCACAAAAAACCCCGAGTTCCCACCTGTCTTTTCCCTGTTCTTCAAGGCCCCATGCTGGTGGAGTCTAGGGCCAGCTCACTTGAATCCTGCCATGGCTGCTTTGTTGGGCTCCTGCCCAGTACTGGCCCTTCTAAGGCACCCTTCACTTGCCAGCCAGAGGCAATGAAAGAAAATGGGTCTGCCAGGTGCAGTGGCTCACGCCGGTCATCCCAGCACTTTGGAAGACCAAGGCGAGAGGACTGCCTAAGCCCAGAGCTTGAGACCAGCTTGGCGAGTTCTCTACAATAAATTAAAAAAAAAATTATCTGGGTGTGGTGACGCATGCCTGTGGTTCCAGCTACTTGGAACGCACCACCATGCCTGGCTAATTTTTGATTTATTGTAGAGGTGAGGTGTCACCTAATTGCCCAGGCTGGTCTCGAACCTGTGGGCTCAGGCAATCCTCACACCTCAGCTTCCCAAACTGCTGGGAACTTACAGCGTAAGCCACAGTGCCCGGCTGTTCCAGCTACTTGGAAAGCTGAGGTAGGAGGATCACAGCCTAGCAAGTCAAGCCCTGCAGCGGTGTTGAGCATGCCATTGCACTACAGCCTGGATGACAGAGTAAGACTCCAACTCAAAATAAATAACCACTGCAGCCTCAATCTGCTGGGCTCAGGTGATCCTTCTGCCTCAGCCTTCCAAGTAGCTGGAATCACAGGCGCACTACCACGCCCAGCTTATTTTTTGATTTATTGTAGAGATGAGGTCTTGCCAAGTTGCCCGGGCTGGTCTCGAACCCCTGAGCTCAGGCAATCCTCTCGCCTCAGCCTCCCAAAGTGCTGGTATTATGGGCTTGAGCTACTGCAGCCGGCTAGGCTTTTTTTTTTTTTTAAATGTTCATCCCAGCAGTTTGGGAGGCAGAGGCAAGAGGATTGCCTAAGCTGGCTAGGCTTCTTAAATTCTGACCTTTCACCCAAAACACAGTGTAAAATAATGATAAATGATGAAGCTACTATAGTAAACATTTGCCATATGTCTAGCCCTTTGCACTCAGACATCTTGTGGATCACCTACTGCAACCAGACCATACTATTTTACAAAATAGTGAAAAATGAATCACTTCATATTAAATAGTATAGCGCTGGAACCAATTATTTTATTGTAATATTTGACTTATAATGAAATTTTGGACATTGAGAAACTTACAACAAAATGACCAAAATTTTATCTTTTACTTTTTTTTTTTCTTTTTTTTGAGTTGGAGTCTCACTGTCGCCCAGACTGGAGTGCAGTGGCCGCTCCCAGCCACAGCAGCCTCCACCTGCTGGGCTCCAGCGATCCTTCCACCTCAGCCTTCCAAGTAGCCGGCTGCCTGGTAACATGTGAAACAGTCATCAACAGTGAACAGCATTGCAAGTTCACTGATACATTGTTGTGCAATAGTAATTCATTTGATGTCTTCCACCTAGTGTTGAAGATGTAGAAGTACACACTTGTGCTGGGTGTGGTGGCTCATGCCTGTAATCCCAGCACTTTCAGCAGTGGAGGTGAGAGGACAGCCTGAGCCCAGGGGTTTGAGAGCAGCTTGGGCAACTTGGTGAGACCATGTCTATACAGTAAACCAAAAAAATTAGCCGGGCATGGTGGCACACATTTGTAGTTCCAGCTACTTGGAAGGCTGAGACGGAAGGATCACCTGAGCCTAGTGGGTTGAGGCTGAGGTGGCCATGAGCGTGCCACTGCACTCTAGCCTGAATGTCAGAGTGAGACTCTGACTCAAAATAAACAAAAAACAACAAACAAGGCTGGGCTTGGTGGCTCAGCCTGTAATCCCGCACTCTGGGAGGCTGAGGTGAGTGAATTGCCTGAGCCCGCGGGTTCAGACCCGCCTGGGCCACTTGGCGAGACCTCATCTCTACAATAAATAAAAAATTAGCCGGGTGTGGTAGCGTGCGCCTATAGTTCCACCTACTTGGAAGGCTGAGGCGAAAGGATCGCCGGAGCCCAGCAGGTCCAGTCTGGGCGAGAGTGAGACTCCGAGAGTGAGACTCCAACTTGGAAAAAAAAACAAAACAACAAACAAAACAAAACAAACAGGACATGCTTGTGATTCCTGAAAACCGCTTCTCAACTGATTGATCAGAAGCTTGACAAATTTCAAATGGGACATAGGTTTTTCATTGTTTTTGAATGAAAACTTCAAGGAAACATACATTTTTAAAATATTTGCACTTGCATAAGTTTGTCCTGTCACCAGCAATCTCTCTCTCTCTCTCCTTTTCTTTTAGAGTTGAAGTCTCACTGTCTCCCAGGCTGGAGTGCAGGCAATCCTTCCCCCTCAACCTTTTTTTTTTGAGTTGGAGTCTCACTCTGTCGCCCAGACTGGAGTACAGTGGCCACTC